AATGAATTGAATCCATCCATCCATCTTCCACTGCTTATCCATGGCTGGGTCGCAGGGGCAGCAGTCTCAGTAGGGCACCTGACCAGACTTCGCCCTCCCCAGACATTTTCTTCAGCTCCTCCAAGGGATTCCAAGGCATTCCGAGTTAAGCCAAGATACAAAGTCTTTCCACTGTGTCCTGGATCTTCACCTGTGTCTCCTCCTGGTGAAACACAACTGGAATACCTCCCCAGATAGTCAGCCAAGAGGCATCCAAAGCAGAACCTCAACTGGCCTCTCTCAATGTGAAGAAGTAGCTCTACTCCGAGTTTCTTCAGAGTGACATAGCTCCTCACCCTATCTCTGAGGGTGTGCCCTGCTTGTATCCTAAACCTTGTCCTTTTGGTCATGACGATGGGTGAGAGTAGGAGGAATATTTACCTTATCAAGAATTTAGCTTTTTTGGCTCAGCTCCTTCTTTACCACAAAAGAATGGTACATCGGCCACATAACTGCTGCCACTCTCAGTTACATACATAATTACCACCTGGGGCAAGGACTCTCCTTCAACCTGGAGATGGAAAACAACCTTTTTCCAGGTGAGCACCATGGCTTCAAATTTTGAACAAAATGGGTGACAAAGGGCTGCCCTGGCAGAGTGCAATATGTACCGAGAACAAGTCTGACTTTTTATTGGCGGCAAAAAGAACAAAATTCTTTCAGTGCACCCCCCACAGAATGCCATTGGAGACACATTCGAATAGCTTCTCTAAGTCCACAAAACACATATGGACTGGTAGGACATACTCCTACGAACCATGGAGCACCCTTGTGAGGGTATAAAGCTGGTCCAGTGTTACATTGGCTGGACTAAATCCACATTGTTCCTCTTAAAGTTTCGGTTAATAGTTTAACTATCAGCTAGACTCTCCTCTCCAGTACCCTGGCACAGGCAATCCCCCTATAGCTGGAACACACCATCCGTTCCCCCTTCTTAAAAATGGGAACCACCAAACCAGTCGCCCAGTCCAGAGGTACAGTCCTCAAGGCATGTCAGCCAAGACAGCCCTACAACATCCAGAGACTTAAGGGACTCAGGGTGGATATCATTAACCCATCTATCCAATAACCAAAAAAAAATTATATTATTTAAAAACAGCTAAGGTCAATAGTATTATCACCTTAAAGTTTTTTTTTCCTGATTGGCTACAAAACTAATCACTGCTTCTCAATAACTTGCTATTATGAAAATAGCACAAACTATTATGTTTTAAAAATACTTTCCACTGGCCTCACAATGCAGCAGTGGGTAGCATGATCGCTTCACAGCAAGGTGGTCATTGATTCGAGCCTTGGCTGGGTCAGTTGGCATTTCTGTGTGGAGTTTGCATGTTAGTGTATGTGTGTGAATGAGAGTGTATGGATGTTTCCCATTGATGGGTTGCAACTGAAAGGGCATCTGCTGCAAAAATCATATGGTGGATGCCGCTTTTGCAACCCCAGATTAATAAAGGAATTGGTGTAACGGAGGCCAGTCAGTAGGTGCTGTGCAAGTAAACCTCACTCCTCTGACCTCTAAAGGTGCTCCAGCGACAGATGCTAGGGGCCATGGTCTTTAGCCTCCTTATTAGAGCAACTGACTCCCATGCGGTAGGTCGCCGGTTCGATCACAGCTCGGAGCGTGTTTGGTGGTGTAGGATCGGTGTAGTACCTCACTCCTCTGACCTCTAAAGGTGCTCTAGCGACAGACGCTTTAGTCTCAGACAGGTCTTTAGTCTCCTTGTTAGAGCAACCGACTCCCATGCGGAAGGTCTTCAGTTCGATATCAGCTTGGACCGGGTTGGATGGCGTAGGATCGGTGGGGTTACATAAGCCGAAAATAAAATAAATTAATAAATATTTTCCACCTGAATGAATAAACTGTGACATGCTAAACATATCCTCTCTGTTAACACCTAACACTTCCACCAAAGGAAGGAAGGAAAACAGCATTTTATCAATGTGTTATCAAAAGAATGATACACAGTCTAGAAATTCATCACATAAGCCAAACGACAATTATTGAGTGCCATAAGAATGAGATAGCGCTTTAGTTCAAAGCTCAGATAATAAGCGTGCTCACCAATCTGACAGCAGGATCCACTATGCACATGCAGTTACACATGCAGTTGATGTAAGAGTCCTAAACACACACCACCATTGAAGCACAATTCATCAGTACAGAGAGATTTACAAGCACGCAGTCAACTGATCGTACAATGGGGAAATTTAACAGGGAAAATACAGCCAGAAAATACCAAAAGGAGTTGGTTCAGTAACAAGATCGAGTTATCCATGATTTGCTTGTTTGTCAGCAGCGACAAATTATTTATGATGATCGGTTTGGCAAGGCAAGTCAGCTGATAAATCAATTACATCAGACTGCCAGATGAAGAAACCGAAAAACAGATCTACAAGCTTCCATGTGGTTTTAATTTTACAGTAATAGTCGATAAATTAATAAACTATATTATATAAAAAAACAACAATCCAAAAAATTTAGATGCTAAATCAATAAAATGAGAGAAATAATAATAATGAGAGAAACAGACTTTTGTCCTTCACTGTTATTTTAGTTTGAGTTGTATGATTGTTTTAGGTTGTGTATAAATAAAGGCATAAACACATGAATGAATGAATGAATGAACGAATGAATGAATGAATGAATGAACGAATGAATGAATGAATGAATGAGATGGAGATGGAATTATATACTGTAAAATGTTTCACATTGGTTAAACTTACAAACTCAAGTTCTTTGTTTCAACTTAAGATGTTGAGTTTTGGTTAAATTTATTGTGAAACTCAGCATCTTAAGTTGAAACAAAGAATCCCTCTAAGTTGAGTTGACCCACAACAAGACAGCAGGTGAACTTGAATTTATGAGTTTAACCAATGTGAAACATTTTGCAGATTAATTAAAACAACAACAGTATAGTAGATGGATATATGGATTGATATCAATACCACACCTTCTTTTAGTTTCATTGTGCCCCATCCCGAGCCAAAATAAAGAGTCTATTGAAATGCTGCTGCAAATGAACAGCTGATGAAAAGTATGTGATTGACAATAGAAACAAAGCTGGAATCCTACTCAAGGTACTTCCAGAGATAAACAGGAATCTCATTAATCTTTCAAGCCATTGACTGCAAATCCTTCAGTGAATAATGTTTAAGAACCATTACCCTAAGCCATATCTACACTTTTATCATATCAATTTTAGAGCCTGAGAGCCAGATTTACTAGTTGAGATAGCACAAACACTAAAAAATACTGCAATGATTTTCAAAGACAACAAGTGCTAAACAGTTTTTGCTGTTGAATGACTTACTGTACAGGAAAGTTTAGGGGATTATATTTCAGATGCAAAATGTATGGAAGAAGAGCATTTAAATGATGGATGCAATGATATTTACACTGTAAAAATGTAGGGTTCCACAGAATTCATTCATATTGTCTCAACACAAATTGATTAAGTTAACAATTTTAAGTGGATTTAACCTAAATAAAAAAAAAATACAATTAAGTTGTCCCCCAAAAATCTTAGGAATTGTGTTGTTTCAGCTTTTCTTTTAATTAAATAGTTATATCAAGTATATATAAATTAATTTTTGACTGTATTAAGGTGTAAGGAAGTCGATACTGCACATGAATTTTGTACCATTATTTAATGCCTCCAAATAGCATCTTATTTCATTATGAGCTTAACATAGGCCACATACACAGTAAAATCTTATAGAGTGATAACAACATTTAAATATACTGTGAATCCCCAAAATTACATTTCTGTATGCATCATTTCAGAAAGTAAGCATTAACGGTTCAGCTTTATGCACATTTGGGATCCTCTATTTTTAACAAAAGATAACAGCATTCAAATACATGTTAAGGTCATCAATTTGAACTAAACCACTGTTTGAACTAAACTATATTTTGTTTTTGATTGCTTCACGGAACATATTCTTGTGTTGCCATATCTTCTTTTAATCTACAGGTTTAATAACCAAAACACCAGCAGACATCTATATTATGCTAATTATCTAAGTTTAAATGCATTACGGACTTGTTATTATTGTTACTATTATTTTTTTCTTTCTAAAATTTGGCATACTTCATTCTCTTGTCATTTTTTGCACTTTACATGCAGATAAGATAAGAAATCTACTGAACATCATTTGTGACCCTGGACCATAGAAAGTTACAAGTGTCAGTTTAGGAAAATGAGATTTGTACATCATCTGAGAGCTGAATACAGCTGTATGGTTTGTAGGAATCCAACAATATTTGGCCAAGATACAACTATTTGAAAATCTGCAATCTGAGAGGTAAAAAATATCTAAATATTGAGAAAATCACATTTAAAGTTGTCCAAATAAAGCAATGCATGGTACTTATCAAAAATACGTCCCCTTGGAATTATAAGGTTGTATCTGCATCTGCTTCCTGAATGATTTTGAGATATTGAGCTTTAAAGTTTTTGCATTCTATACAGCAAACAGTGTGTATAACATTTGTTTTGTAAATAAAAAGTCTTAAAATGTAAACAACTTATTTAAAAACATCCCATAATGTAAATAAGTTGTCATTTAATAAGAATGTTAATAACTCAATTTTGACAAAAATGTCAGATAGAACCTTATAATTCTAAGGTGACAAATAGCATTTTTAAGTTTTTGCGGTAGGAAAAAAATTGACAAAATATCTACATGGTAAATGAAATTTACTTGATTTTTTACTTTAACAAAAAATATAATACTTTAAATAAAGTATATTGTTAATAAAATAATAATAGTTAATTTTTTTGAGTATTGTTAACTATCCCTACAGATATACCAGGGTCACATTTAAATACAAATTCTTCTACTCCCATCCACAGTTCCATGAGATTGAGATAAATTGCCCTATGAATTTGCCCAACATTTTTGTATTTTCATGCCATTTGGATGCTTGATCAGACAGAAATGATAGTGGAAACACTTACGATAAAGGCAGCCCATCTTTGAATTGTTCTGGGACCATCCAGGACAGCATTTGTATGCCATCTTGAAGTCCTGCCTGTAGACTTGTTTATATCCTATGTAGTAGGTAGTCCTATAAAAAAATGACTAGATTATTTATTTACCATAGAATTTCGTCAAAAATAATGAAGTACTTCAAAGAGCCATGTAATAATAATAAACCCCTAAACCCCAATTAGTTCAGCATTTGTTCAACGCAGTGGCAACATTTATCAATCTCGGTGCCAGTCTCTTGAGGGCTGTTCAGTGTTCTGCCATAATTGCCGAGGGGTTTGATGGCTGTGAGAGTCATGAGCTTCCTTTTGATTCCCGGAGCATCCGAGACTCTTAATAACCATCGTCTCTCAACAAAAGGATCGGTTTCTAACTGCTGTCTTTCTCTAACCCTCTGCCCATTCTCAAAAGCAGCTAGAAGTTGGCTGACACTGAAAGGTGTGCTATTGAGAAATGGCTGTCAGTGTTAAAAAGGACTATTGATACCAAATCAGGACAGAAGGACTCTTTACGGCCTTCAAAATATCACATTTATTGAAGCTGTACTCTAGTCTCACAGTCGATTGGCTGTATAATATATCAGTCAACTGAATAAATACCTCCTCTCGAAGTCCATACACCAAGCATGACCTGTGCATCCTTGCCTCCAGACCTTCACCATTTGTATAAATGCCTGCACACATGGCTGTTTCTCATCTCGGATGACTCTCTCTGGCTCTGAGCAAACATTCGGCCTGAATAAAGAATCATTTTTAAAATACCTTTAATTTTCATGTGGTTAAAATGCAGTAAGACAATATAATAAATATAAAATTTCATTGTGACTGCATACAGCTGAATTCTGAATTATTAGCCCCCATTTTTCTAAATATTTCCCAAATGATGTTTAACAGAGCAAGAAATTTTTCACAGTATGTCTGATAATAATTTTTTTTCTTCTGAAGAAAGCCTTTTTTTTTTTTTTTTGGTTAAAATATTTAGCTTTTATTTTAGTTTTTAATTTTTTTTAAAACTAGGGTCAAACTAGGGTTTGTAGGGTCAAAATTATTAACTTCTTTAAGCTATATTTTTTCGATATCTACAAAGCAAACCATCGTTATACAATAACTTGCCTAATTACCCTAGTTAACCTAATTAACCTAGTTAAGTCTTTAAATGTCACTTTAAGCTGCATAGAAGTGTCCTGAAAAAAATCTAGTAAAATATTATTTACTGTCATCATGGCAAAGATAAAATAAATCTGTTATTAGAAATGAGTTATAAATACTATTATGTTTAGAAATGTGTTAAAAAAAACTTCTCTCTGTTAAACAGAAATTGCGAAAAAAATAAATAAGAGGGAAATTTCTGAATTTAACTGAATTTTGAAATTTAACAAAACAATTTATGATTTTCATAATAAATAAAGCCATAAAGCAATAAGTGAAATTGATGTTTATATACATATTATATAGCACAATTGTATACACCAGTGGTTCTCAAACTGTGGTACATGTACCACTAGTGGTACGCAGGCTTTCTTCTAGTGGTACGCAGAGGAATCCAATTTGTCATATGTACATGCGACATACATTTCAAAATGTAGCAAAAATGGTTAATCTATGAATAAAATGACATACAGTTGAAGTCAGAATTATTAGCCCCCCTGAATTATTAGCGCCCCTGTTTATTTTTTTCCCCAATTTCTGTTTAATGGAGGGAAGATTGTTTCAGCACATTTCTAAGCATAATAGTTTTAAAAACTTATTTCTAATAACTGATTTATTTCATCTTTGTCATGCTGACAGTAAATAATATTTTACTAGATGTTTTTCAAGACAATTCTATACAGCTTAAAGTGACATTTAAAGGCTTAACTAGGTTAGGATAACTAGCCAGGTTAGGGTAATTAGGCAAGTTATTGTATAACGATAGTTTGTTCTGTAGACTATCGGAAAAAAATTAGCTTAAAGGGGCTAATAATTTTGTCCCAATTTTTTTTTTTTAATTAAAAACTGCTTTTATTCTAGCCTAAATAAAACAAATAAGACTTTCTCCAGAAGAAAAAATATTATCAGACATACTGTGAAAATGTCCTTGCTCTGTTAAAAATCATTTGGGAAATATTTAAAAAAGAAAATCAAAATCAAAATGGGGCTAATAATTGTGACTTCAACTGTATAGCCTATATTTATGAGGTCCAATCAACATTTCCAGGTTTTGATGAATAGGATACTATAGGTTAACACTTTACATTTAAGTACAGGAGCTTTTTTTTTTTTTTACTTTTTAAGAACAGTAGCGTACCATTATTAATTAACTTTTTAAAGCACATTTTAATTTAAATGTTGACATTTTATTTATTTTTGTTGTTGTTGTTGTTTTACATATAGAGGCAGTACATAGTTAACATAGTATAGTGACAGTGTCAGTGTAACTATTTATAATGTTTGAAGTGGCTGATAATAATAATTTTCTTAATAATAGAAGTTAATCTGCCACATTTTTAACTGCAAAGCTGTAGCTGCTTTACTGGGCCTATACTACACTACTTTATTTCAAAACCGGTCATTATGGTGGTACTTGGAGAGACAATTTTTTCCTGAGGTGGTACTTGATGAAAAAAGTCTGAGAATCACTGGTATACACTAAAGGTCTTTACATTTTTTTATCAAAACAAATTTTACAAAATTATCATGCAATGAAATGTACCCCTGTTTTTTAAAACACCATTTTCAGCAGCCACTATTATAGAAACAATTCTGGTAATTATGAGAGCTGCTACCTCATATTTTGTTACACTGTGATATTGAGCATTCAGAAGTTATTTTTTTCTCTTCTTTGAATAATGCTTTATTCAGCACACAGGCACACTAAGAGGTAAAGACAAGTATAATGACACATAATATTACATTATTATTTTTAATTAACTTTTGAATTCAAAAAAACATTCTGAAAAGTCAAATGAATCACAGATTTCCCAAAATATAAAAATGTTTTCAACATCGATAATCATTATTAATCAGTAGAACCATTGTTTTTGATTAAGTCGCAATAATAATCAAAGATTTTAAAACGCCAAAAAATCAGCCTATTAGAATGATCTTACTACACTGAAGATACTGAAGATTAATAATGTTATCTAATTAAACACAGTTATTAACAGGAAATGTTATTTCAAATTGAGATAATATTGCACAATATTATCATTTTTTAATATAGCACAGTATTATCAAACAGCTAAAGGCAATCTTTGCTATATGCAATATTTGCAAAGTTTGAACTTTTTCTATTTATAAATATACATTAACAAATCATCTAACGCACACACACACACACTGTGCACTCAATCATCATGCAGTCAGTCAAGCAGTCACTGGAAAATATTATAATAACATGACTAAAATACAGTTGATCTCTATGTCACTTACATGAAAGGATGTAGAGCTCGAAGACAACACGATGGACGGATCTTGGTTAGCAGGAATAATAATAACAACAACACGTGTAAATCCATATCACAGCCTGATAACACTGTTCCACATGCAAAATATCACTCTGCGAGTCTTCGGGCGGTTTCATTTGCAAGCAGGTGGCTAAGCAGAAAGCGCATGCTAACATCAGCTGAGTGTTTACCGTTTAATGTTTACAGTAACATGTGGCATATACTGTATGGGCAGGAGCAGGTTGATATTTCAAAAAGTAATAATTTTAGAGTTAATGATAAGCAACTCAAACTCAACTCAAAAGTGTTTGAATTATTAAAAAAATATTATTCCTCGTTGTTTTTGTTTTGTTTATTGCATTGCAGACTTGTTCATTAGATATACCGAATTATAATGCAGCTGACTTGAATTAATTGAATAAATGCATAAGATTATATTGATTTTTGCAATGACTTTAGGGATAAAACAACAGTTTCAAATGTAGAGGACACTGAACACCTGCATAAAGATACTACCAGATTAGAGGCTTCAAATTGTCTTGTATTGTGCCGCCACCTATTGGCCTAACAAGCGAACCACCCCCACGGCCAGAATTTGTCATTTTAATTATTTTATGTGATTTAATATTAAATAATATATTTCTTATATAATTAATATAACTATATATATATATATATATATATATATATATATATATATATATATATATATATATATATATATATATATATATATATATATATATATTGTAATCAAGTGTAATTTTAAATGAAGCCTCAAAACCGCGAGTCACGTGACAATTTACCACGGCGAATGAAGTTCTGCACAAGACTTTTGGCCAGCGGAGAAATTAAAATGGTCGTGCCCAACTGAGTCTGGTTCTCTCAAGGTTTTTTTTCTTCACTCCCATCAGGTGAAGTTTTTTTTCCCTCTCCGCTGTCGCCACTGCCTCGCATGGTTCAGGATTGGTAGAGCTACGCATCGATGAATTTGCTCTTCAGTGTTTGAACTCTCAGTAATGATTAAATCACACTGAACTGAGCTAAACTGAACTGAACTGAACTTAAACACTAAAACCTGAACCACACTGTTCCAGTTACTGAACCGCACGGTTCCAGTTACTATGACCATTTATGTGAAGCTGCTTTGACACAATCTACATTGTAAAAGCGCTATACAAATAAAGCTGAATTGAATTGAACAATTTAGAATTCCCAATTCACCTGTACCACCCAGCGACCTTCTTGCTATGAGGTGACGGCACTACCTACTGCGCCACTGCTTCCAAAATAGTACAAAATAATAATAATATAAATAAAACTGTAAATTACTAATACAAATAACAATACATTCAGTGTCAATCTATAAGCTGACAAAAGTTTAGAGATCTTTGAGGCATTTTTCGTTTTTTACATGAATAAATTTAAATAACATTTTGAAATAATTGTGAAATGCTTTGAAAGAGCATTTAAAGGAGAAACTTTAACAAATCTACATTTATACATATAAAACTTTGCTAAAATCAACCTAGTGTTGCACAAATTTAATTGATTTTCAAAAAAAACACCCCATTTTACAATATGATAGTCAAACACGGGTATTTCATTTTTCGTCTGCAACCACTCATACAATCTGTCCTAAAAGGATTTGACATTAGTACAACTATAAAATAGATGTTCTTGAGATTCAACATTTTTCAAGCAGAAAATACATAGGCTGCACTACTGTCTAAATTTAATCTTATTCTAAAAAAAACTCATTACATGAATAAATGTAATTTATTGTTTTGAAGTGCACTCCTTTCATTTTAGGTAGCAAGGGAAATATTTAATCGATTTAACTCACTTCTCCAAACATTTCCAAATCCCCTTAAAACCCAAGTAGCTGTTTATAGGCAGCTCTCGCGACTGCCTGATGTTAATTTGTTAAACTGCAGTTTACGCGGAGACATGAAATTAAATTAAAATAATGGTATATCAATAGTCAGCCTAAATCTGACCTCATATATAAAAGAAGCGCACACAAATACATATTTCTTGTTTAATTAAACGCTGACTGGTCGGGTCCTTAAGCGCAGAGCATTGTGGGAGTTGTTCCTCTGCAGCAATGGCTTGGCTTGTAGTCAGATTAGCAATATCGGTGTCTTTATTATATACTGCATCGGCGGTATTTGAAGACCAGGTTGGAAAGTTTGATTGGTACGTATCCGAGCTATAGTCGTGTGCTGCTTTGTCGTTTAATTCATTGAAGGATTAGTGCGACTATAACAGCCGGTACTTACTTCAGTCAGGCTGCTCCACCGGGCTCATCCTGATCTGTCATCATGTGTTAACATCACTCTCATTTCTTCCAGGAGGCAACAGTACATCGGCAAGGTGCGTTTTGCCTTGTTTGATACTCATTCTCAAGCGTCTAAAAAGCTCCTGGTGGCCACCGACAAGAACGTGTTTGCTTCCCTAAACTCAAGGACTGGAGACCTGTGTAAGTCTGTCTGCTAAATATGTTGTATTCCTTTATTAAATCGTATAGCTTTGTAGGCTTATTCGTTTTTAGCTTTTCTCTTTCAAAGCCTTTTTTTGTTTATTAGACTGACATAATTTGTCACAAGGTATTCACTGAAATGAATGAAGCTGTTCCATGTCTTGGTAAATGACCTTTGATTTGATAGGCTCACCTCTTCACATGTGTAATTAGTAGGAGGTTGTTTACTAACTTTTTTTTTTTTTTTTTTTTTTTTTTACTAAAAGGGATAGTCCACTCAAAATTATTGTTAGGTATTGGTATAGAGCTTAAGTTGGTTTTATAATCGCACATGCGTTCAGTAACAATTTGTGACATGCTTCCTACATTGTTTACTATGGTACTTTAAATATTCGGTCAGAAATCCCTTGTAAGTATGACTTTAAAACAACCTTGGTACTATTTATTTGACTGTGAACAATGTTGTACTTTGATAGTCATTGGCTGTTAATAGGATTTTATATGATTTATTTTGTAGAATATACAAAGAATACTTTTTAGAAATTGTATTATCAAGGAGAAATTCTGAATGTTTGAATGTAAAAACAAATTTACCTCAATGTATTGGGTAATTGAATTCCACAGTCCAGCTCCAAAAGTAAAAACTCAAGTCATTTTCACTGTATGGGATTTTTAATTTTTTTAACTGATTAACCTTATCATAATAGATAGTTCACCCTAAACTGAAAATTCTGTCAACATTTACTTGTTCCAAATTTGTTGAAAAACATCAGCTTTCAAAGTCACAGTGAGCAAAGTCTGCCCGAAATCACATGTAGTTCTGTCCATTTTCATAGAGTTGATTTTTAAATAGTTAAATGTGTGTGTACATATGAGTCATTATGTATTCATACATTTGAAAATACTTAGTCTGTACTATATAACTTAGTCTTTAAATGAATAGTTTTTGTTTGTCTCTATTGTTTTTAATGTGATTGTGTCATTAAGTCCCTCACTGATGCAGTCATGTACCTTTGTTTTTGTCAGATTTTTTTATATACTTATTTTCTTCAAATCAAAGTTTGTATTGTATTGTGCGCACATAAATCCGCAGATTTTAGCCCTTCATTGAGTGATTATTTAAATTTATTTGTGTAAATCTATATTAATTCAGTTTTAAATTAATTTCAGAAATATTATTAACTGGTATGAAAATGTTCAAATGTTTTTTTTTTAGAATACAGTTTGTAAAATAGTTTTTTTTTCTGTCTTGTAGTGTAAATGTAAGAAACTTGCTTTGTTTGCCAACTAAGTGGATCTAATTGGATTTGCATTATAAACAATAAATAAAAGTTTAAAGGATGTTATTATTTTATTTCCTATATTAAGTTTAAAGTTATGATACTCCCAAAATCATTCAATGTAAATCTGCAGATTTTATTTATTTATTTATTCTTACAAAATTCTGTGCAGAAATAGCAAAAAATGTCTGCAGATTCTGTCCAGCCCTACTCATAACACTGTAATACCTTGCATTAGAAAGTTTAGTGACTTTAGCAAAAAGTGAATGCGGAATGAATAAATGTTCCAGAACCAGCACTGCTTAAAAAAGCAGTCATGCGCACTATTCAAGGTTTAGTTCTTTTGTTTGCTATATTAAAGGCATAATTGACCCACAAATGTAGCTTACCATTGTTTATAAACTATCATGTTGTTGCTGCACGCCTGTATAACTGGCTTTTTTTTTTTTTTTGTTAAGTATATTGAAAACCAAATATTTCTGATTCACATTGATTTAATAAAAGAAAAGTTATTGAAGATTGAAACTGTTGGTTTTAAATTGAATCATAAGATAATTTTTGTAAATATTATTTTTGTTTTCCCCTTTGAAGAAAAGTCAGTATGTATTCTTCCTCTATTGTTTCATCACAAAAGGGTAAATTAAATATGTATTCAGCTTGTTTTTCTGAATCATAGTCAAAATAATGTTCTTGGTTTCGTGCAGTATTTTTTTATTATGGATGTAATATTGATATTTATAAAACATTTTTATAGTTTCAATTAATAGTCTTAAGTGGAGTGTTTTTGGTTCTTGCAGTCTGGCGTCATGTGGACAAGACTGGACCCGAGGGCCATATTGATGCACTGCTTATGCATGGCCAGGGTAAGCATTCAATAAAAAGTGTGTATGGTGTGAAATTAGACTTTGTGTGTGTCTCTGAAACTCTTCTGGCTCTCTCTTAGATGCTGTTGTTGTTGTCGGGAATGGCCGTCTGCTTCGCTCCTGGGAGACTACAGTCGGAGGCTTGAAGTGGGAGACTGTGCTTGATTCTGGAAGGTGTTTATTTATGTTTTGCTGTTTTTGCTTTAAAGAGAGAGTGCATATTAAATTTACTCGTGCATCAAACTGACAGTGTCCTCTTTTGACCAAAGTTTTCAGGCCGCTGCTTTAGTTGGAGTTCAAGATTATGTGAAGTACGTTGCTGTGCTGAAGAAATCGACAATCGCTCTCCATGACCTTTCAAGTGGCAGCCAAACATGGGTGGAAAACCTACCTGACAGGTAATGACAAATCTTTAGCTTCAGCATTTTACTCAATTTTAACTATAAATTGAAAAGTTAAATTAATCCTGTTGATGGGGAAAATACTATGCTAGTAGAAATTGTAACTTATGTTATTTATTGAATTTATTTTCCATTTTTGCCTTTTGTCCTACAG